TATTTATTTTTATTTGTTTATTTATTTATTTGTTTTTATTTGTTCGTTTGTTTGTTTGTTTGTTGGTTTGTTTTTTTTTTTAGTTTTTTATTTATTTTATTTATTTTTTTGTGCTGTTTTTGGTGTGGCTCCATAAGAATAAGAAGCAGAACACAAGTATTTTATTTTTTATTTTTTATTTTTTATTTTATTTATTTATTTATTTTGTTTCTTTCTTTGTTTGTTTGTTTGTTTATATGTTTGTTTGTTTGTTTGCTTCTTTGTTTTTTTTTGTTTTAGTTTTTTATTTATTTTATTTATTTTTTGTGCTGTTTTTGTGGCTCCATAAGAAGCAGAACACAAGTATTTTATTTTTTTTTATTTTTTATTTATTTTTTATTTATTTTTATTTATTTATTTATTTATTTATTTGTTTGTTTGTTTTATTTAGTTGTTTATTTCTTTGTTTTTTTTTGTTTTAGTTTTTTATTTGTTTTATTTATTTTTTTTTGCTGTTTTTGGTGTGGCTGTATAAGATTAAGAAGCAGAACACAAGTATTTTATTTATTTTTTATTTATTTATTTATTTATTTTATTTAATTTTTATTTTATTTTTTTTATTTTATTTTTATTTTTTTTATTTTATTTTTTTTATTTTTTCTTTGTTTGCTGTAGGGTACGGCGTTGAGTGTAGGGGATCGGGTTACCGCCCTTCAGAGAAAAATCGCCGCAGAGTGCTGATACAGCTAGCTAGCTAGCTAGCTAGCTAGCTAGCCAGCTAGCTAAGCAGCTAGCTAGCTAGCTAGAGAGCTAGCTAGCTAGCTAGCTAGCTAGCTAAGTGGCTAGCGAGATAGCTAGCTGGCCAAGCGGCTGGCTAGCTAGCTAGCTAGCTAGCTAGCTGAGTTGCTAGCTAGCTAGCTAGCTGAGTTGCTAGCTAGCTAGCTGAGTTGCTAGCTAGCCATAGTCACCAGTCACCTAGCTAACTAAGTATCCAGCTAGCTAGCTAGCTAGCTAGCTAGCTAGCTAGCTGGCTAGCTGTCTGGCTAGGTTCTTCCTTAAGATATCTGCTCTAGCTGTTGCTGCAGCTGCAGCAGCATATATATGTTGCAGCAACTGCCGCAGCAACAGTAGCTACGACAGCAGCAGATTGTGTATCTCTGTGGGTGCTATTCTCATGTATCTGGTGTTAAGTATCGCCTTCAAGCTCTACAGCTAGCTAGCTAGCTAGCTAGCTAGCTATTTAGCTAGCTAGCTAGCTGCCTGTTTTTCTATTCAGCTAGCTAG